GCTGTACAATGGCTGATCCTGCACTCTGACCACAAGCTTCTCTCTCTGTGTGTCTGTGTCTCATGGAGAGCAAGCTGGGGTATGCGAAAAGACAAATTCCTAATGCAAGAAATTGTATATGGCTAATAAAGTGATCTCTTATAATGTGAAACCCTGTCACTCAGCCTTCAACACTAACCCTAATTACATTTTCAAGTCAGGTAGCACGTACAGGGCATAGTATAACAGACCTTCCTCTAATATATATATTTAAAATATAACACCATATCTGTAAATGTAATGTGTCACTACAGTGTTGTCTATTCAAATTAGAGATACAAAGTAGTATCTAATTACAAAGTAGATACTTTCCATTGTTCCATTCTTTTCACACACAAAAGTTCCAGTAATTTTATTTCTCTGTTGTTAGATTTCTTAATAAAAGTTAGTTAAATTTTCAATATGTATTATCTCAATTTGCAGTATTTATTGCAGAAGCTTTATCGTTTCTAAACATTTGTTTGAGATTTGTCATAAATGTAATTAACATTTTAACTATTTCTTTCTGTATTGCCCAATATTTGGTCATCTTCCCTTAGATATTCTATAAAAGGGCCACAAAAAGAAGGTAGGTTTCACTTATTTGATAACTAGTAAACACTTGATTCCAAGATACTGTCCACAAATTTTCAGATTGATGCCAAAGAAATCTGCACAGGAACACAGGAAAATGGAATACCAGGAAAACAGGAAAAATAAACTATTCATTGTCCCCCATGGTTGTCAGTTTCCAGTACTGACCCTGTCACAGTATCAAGGCCTGCATGACAGACCCCAGTCATGTGTAAAACAGTGTTTTCTTGTATTGCTGTGAAAATGGCTTTTAACACATTTTCCATCTCATGTCCCTGTGTTGTGTTAACTAGAGCTTAATTAAAAAACTGCTGGGGTCAACGTTATTGATTCCTTTTTTTCTACGACTGAAGTGACTCCATTCCTTCAGTCTGTCCTCATTACTCATTCCCTTAAGCCCAGGAATGAATCCTTTCTCTTCTTTGGGCTATCTCTGGTTCTCCTTAATCCACCGTGTAACATTTAGACCAGACGTATTTACAGCCCTCCGATTGTGTTCTGTCCAGACCCAGGACAGCCTCCCATAAACCATAACCTTGGTCATGTTACAACCTTCTAGCCAAATTCTGGGAGAGCTGGGAAGCTGAGCAAGACTGGGCCTGGTCAATACTGAGATGGGACACCTGAGGAAAATAAGGTTGTTGGTGGACCAGTAGATGGTGTTCTTTCTCCTGAACCAAAATTTCCTAACCAGTGCTTCTATATTGTGACAGGGAACCTGTAGGCAGTGCTGTCCCTCATATAGAAAACTGAGGTCCTGACTACTTGGTCATTGACGACCCCAAGATTAGGGTCAACAAGGCTAAATTCCACTCTGTTTCCCTTTTAAACTGAACCAGTGAATCAATCTCTCATTTATCCGTGTGATCTCCCGCATAGCAGGCTACTGGTGCATAATGGGATGTACAGCACTTCAGTGTATTTCTGTATATTACCTATAAGAACAACTTTTCATGATGTGCAAGTTAGCTGATTGAGCTATACTTCCTGCCAACTTCTTATGATGTGCTAAAAAAATATTTTAATAGCTGAAAAAAGTTAATATTTCTAAAAAGAGGTCAGCATGGTGGCGCAGTGTTGTTGCCGTGCAGCATTTGGGCCGCTGGGTTCACCTCCTAGGGTGCTGTCTGTGTGGAGTCTACATTTTCTCCTCATGTTCACATGGGTTTCTACCACGTGCTCCCATCTCCTCCTACAGGCCAAAGACTGATACTACACTTGATCTTAGCCAAAAGGCTGAGAAGACACACTAATTGGTTAATTGGCCCTGGTGTGTGTGTCTGTGTTGGTGTGTGCCCTGGCAGTATCCTGCATTGCTTGATGGGATAGACTCCAGCTACTCGATCCTGAATTAGAAGAAGCAGCTAGAAAATGGATCTTTTTTAAACAAGAGAAGTACAGAGATGATATAACTATCTTTTAAACTTTAGCACTAACCCAGACTTTAGCATTTTCTTTAAAATCTAAATAGAGGCATTTTCTCTGACTGTGTGATAAGGACTGGCACGTTGTTCTTGGTGAGAGCACACTTATGTTCTCAGTATTGCCCAACAACGTTTATGTATTAGAGAGATTGATGGAGAGTGCTGTTACAAAACCACATACCAGCAGATGGCACTGCTGTTCCAAAAGAAGCAATATCAACAGTAAATCTAACTACCTCTGCTACTGCTCACACATGATAAATTGACTTTTTGTACCAGCAATAATGCAATCTACTAAACAACACAAACATTATTATTAACAGTAATAGCACCACCAGCAGTAATGCTACAGCCTTCCCCCTGTAACCTGACCTCTTGAAGTCTCTAAGGTTACGTAGTGCCTAGCGTGATCGGTCCTGGGATGGGAGACCTCTGAGGTAGACAAGGTTGCTGCTGGATAACCAGCAGGTGGCGCTCTTCCTTGTGGACCACAATTTAATGTGCTTTGCAATCTTTTGTAATGAAGATCAGTGTAATGAAAATGCACTTATTAGTATTGGAGTTTTTCACATACAGTTTAATTAAGGCATTCTACAATCATTCAACAAAAGTAACAATAGGAATACACAATAACAACAGTTTTCACAACTGCCTGCCATAATGTTTTGTGGAAATCTTGTAACTTAAATGATTTAGGCAAATATTCTTCAGAGATATCCTCAGTAAAACTAAACTTAATATTAACTCTTTGCACCCCTTTCCACTCATGGGACTCTGTGCGTTCTGCTCAAGACTAAAGAGATTTCGTTCTTAGAGTCCTTCTAGTACCTTTTGACAGGCTGGGTCAATGCAAGCAGCAAAGACCATTTAGCAAATGAAAGGTGTGCTAGTGCTCTTTTATTGTTAGCAAAGAAAAAAAAATAAAAGAAAAACTCTTCTCTCAGTTCAGCAGCTTTCACACGGTAAGCTGCTCTCCTGGTGGTCATCAGTATTCT